GGGGCGGTCATCACTGTTCTAAACGGGGGATTTTGAAACAAAAGGGCGAGACCCGTTGCCGCAATGCTCGACTAAAATAAAGATGTAGCTGCATCCTTTGTGCTAAAAAGGAATTTACAAATCAAATCAAATCCTTTGAGATGGACTTCTAGATGAGTGGGGGACTAAAGTGAACCTTAGTCTAGGTAGCCACATCAAAAACATATCAGGTTCCACAATATTTGTGCTATGGGCCACTGGGACTTTTCAAAAGGTATATAAACATCTAAAACATATTCACACAGATTATCAATTTCTTCTGAGCATTCTTAAAAAAATATTTTTTTTTCTCTTAGTAAAATCATTTTAATATACCATGCCTCCCTCTTTTAAAAAATAAATTAAAAAAATCCAGTTTTGCATATCTAGCGTTAGCATTTAAGGTAGTATGGCACACCCCCTCTTTAAAGTCAAGGGTGGGGATCTACAAAATGCCTTAAGAGTTTGCCAGCATTTTTAACATTGTGAGACCTTTGGTTAGTTGAAACCACATCAGATCAGCAAAAAATAAAATTAAATTAAAAAAGAGGAAAAAAAAAAAGAAAGAAAGAAAAAAAGAAACAAAAGGAAAAACTGCCCAAAAATCATTAGCATTTTTTTTTCTTAAATAAGAGAAAGTTCTATCCTTACTGGTCCTAAATCTGAATAACTACATCTAAATTTTTAACCTTAATTACGATATACCTACCAATATGTACTAGAAGAGGAAGAGAAAGAGAGAGAAAGAGGAGAGGGGGAACTTCACTACACTAGCATCAGGACAGCACTCTTACAAGATAGCCATTTTATACACTATTAACATACAACAATGATCAACAAAGAATATTCTGTGAGGTGATAGGGAATGGAGAGGAAAAACAAATGGTAGTACAGTACGTCATCAACATTGACAAAATATTAATAAAAAATTCCCTGACTTACACATTGACTCGCAGGGAATTTGGTTTGCTGTTTGTGTGTGTTTTTTTTTTTTAAGTTTTTATTTTTTAAAGAATTGTTTTATTTTTATTTTTTTTTATTACTTGATCAAGTCTCAATATTTAAAAAGCGTCCAGCATTTTGCTTAAACCTGGTTGTTCTGAAATAAAAAAAAAAACCAAACCCAAAATATTACACAAAAAAGCATGTTTTTAAAAACAAGAAAAACAAGGTGTTTTCCTTTCCGTTAGCAGTATGGTGCCTGGTTTTGGTTTTTTGTTTTTTTTTTGTTAAAGATGCCTTGCTCTACCTTGTCTATTGAACGTCTACATTAGTCTACTTGTTAGTAAAATTTACAAAAATAAGAGTGCAGCAGCTCTTTTTAACAAATGTCGCATTCAGTGTCTTATACTGGCTGTACCTAAAGTACCAAATTTATAAACGTAACAATTTAAAAAAATATTAATAAAACTTGTCAATATTACGTTAAAAAAAGAAGAAATATATCCACACTACAGTATGTTCTTAATGCCACCTACCATGTTGTACTTCTATTTTGCTGTTGCAGGCCTATTTACCAATATTAAAAAAATTAAATTAAAAAATATCCTTCATAAGTTTCCTCCCCCAACAGAGGACCATATATATAACAGCCAAATATTAAACATGTGCAAATAGGAAACTGTCAGTTTTCGCCCCACCAGTCACAGTGCAATGATGTTTTATACTTTTTTTTATTTTTTTTTAATTCTGTTTACATCTACAATAAATTAAAATCTTCTGTCACTTCTAGGGTGATACTTGTAGCACTGAGGTATTCCCAAAAAAAAAAAAAAAAAGGTTGCTTTCCTAATTCGTTAATATAGAAAATAATGGACAAAAAGGTAATAATGCAAAGCTTTAAAACCGCTCTCCCTACAGCATGTGAAACGAGGAAGAGAAACCTCTTCTCTGTCAAGCTTTGTAGGAATATCGAGCAGCTGAAATGACTGGACAGCAAGTTGATCTAATTTAAAACAACAACTAAAAAAGGTGTGCTTCGAACATTAAATACGTTAAATAGTAAAATTGTAGCTTCTTTTTCAGTCTTGGGAAAAAGCAGTTGTTAAATTAAAAAATATAACTAGACTGTTAATTTTTAAGCTGTGCACATATGACTAGTTAATATGCTGGTATGACGCTAGTACAGTTAGAAGGTCTAACACACCTACAGAGCAAGCTAAACAGTGTTAATCTAACTCTTATGGGCCAGCTCTGGCAGTTGATCTAGAAGTTTAAAACTTAATTTTTATTTTTTTTTTCCACTCAGTAGAGAAACTGCCTAAGACCGACTCCATCACAAAAATAGTTTGCATTTCTCTTTCTTAATAGTTTATATGTAGTTAATGGAATTGTATTTACAGTATTTTTTTTTCAGGATTCACAAGTTCAAAAAACCTTATATCACCTCTTTCAACAAAAAAAAGCACTTATAGAAAAAAGGACACGCAAAACTTTTGGAGTCCTTACCTTATTGCCGAAAATAGATAGAATTAGGTTAACAGAGACATCACAAATGAAAAGACCGGCTAGAGAACCTGCTACGCCACTACACTCTCAGCTCCCAGACAACACAAATGAAAAACTTGACTTCAGCCCACCTGCTGCACTTGCTCTACCTACAATTCAGTGTGCGCTAAAATCCCACCTGAAGAGTTTTTACAGTTTCAGAATTGGTACCAAAAGACTGAGAATCATGTTACCGTCTCAGCATCCTTTAAGCAACAACTACATAAAACAAAAGGGAAGGGGAAAAAAAAATCAGGAGGAGGGAAAACTAAAAGAAAACCCTTAATATAAACAGTTAGTTATAGTATGGTTAGGCTTTTTACTAGATACACAAAGAATTAGATCTACATGACTACGAGACTATGTCAAAATGCTATGAAAACAAAATGTGATTCAAATCGATTTAAAAGGGGGGGAGGAAAAGGGGGTGGGGAGAAAAACCATCCAGAAAATAAAACAAAAGAGAAATGGATTATATATACATGTTTTAAAAGCTGTTGTTTGTATAGTACAGCAGATTCATGAGATGATGAGAGATTTTTAAACAACCTAAGTCCGTAGAGTGCCACCTCCAGTTTGTGTATGTTATTGGTGATGATGTAGTGCTCAAAGTCTGATGATATCACCTAAACATGGGACCATTCAGAAACTTCGCCCTGTCTTGCCTGGACATCCAGATATACTCTAGAAAGGATAGAGAGAACACACAGAACATAGAAAAAGAAAGATCAGCGCAACCGAATGTGAAGGAAATGCAAACATCCCTCAATCTAGTGGATTTCTTTAAGGTGTTTATTGTCCACCTCCCTATATCGTTACAACAATACCGTCTCCTGAGCTAAGGGGCCTTCCTGTGCAGGCCTTTATCTGCTGCTTAGAGCCGCTCTACAGGGCTGGATTAACCCGTTAGTGGGACAAGGCAAACAAACTCATGGGCTTCCAGCTGAAGATGAATTTTTTATATTACTTTTGTTTCCACTCAGTAATGATAATATGTAAAATAAGCACAACTGGGCCCCTTCTTCACTTAAGGCCCTAGGCCTGTGCTTAGTTTACCGATGCATGCTCTGGTGCGGTCGACCCTGCTTGCCATGAACTGACACGCCATGAACATGAGCAAAGGGGATGCTGAAGTGTTTCGATCCTGTTGAAGCCGGCGCTATACCCAAGCACCACTCAGGACTGGGGGTCACTATTAGCACAAGGTGCAATTCCACTGAAATACAAAAAAGGACTGAAATTGCCAAACCAGGACTTATTTAGTGTGGGTAAATTACAGAGAATACTGGCAAACTGCATGGAGTCAAGGGTCAACCTGTCAGAGCCATGCAAGAAAAAATAAATGACTAATAAGAGAAGCGCACTGAAATTTGGTTTTAATATTTGGGCCAGAATCTGCTTTAAATGACATCAAGAGTGATGTAGACTTACTTCGGAATTAAAAGACCTCGGGTACCTTTCCAAAGGTCAAACAAATGCTAAGATAACCCCACTAGTTTTAAGTCCCTTGGCCAAGCCAGGGATGTGCGCGGGCTTTTGAAGTTGTTCGTGGAAAGAACAGAAAAAAAAGCTCCTCAGTGCGTCAAGGGCACTGCGCAGTTGACAAGGCTGTGCCAACTGCATAGTGTGAAACCTGCTGAATTACTTGAAAAATAGTAACAACTTTTAACAGGTGCATCGCAACAGCAATCATGACTTTTAGAACTGGATGCAGAACCCCTGCGTCTCCCATCCTTCAAACACTTAGGCACGTGCTTCATTTTATGCGCAGTCGTGATCCAATTGACTTCAATGGGACTCTTCATCTATGTAAGTGTTGGCAAGGATTGAGACATAGGTGTGCAATTACCATTTAAACTTCATTGTAGAAAACAATGGCTTTCAAAAACTCCACCCAACACTGCAGCAGAGTCGTATCCCAGCCGGCAGGGGCTGAGAGAGATCCTGGCAAAGTGGAAAGCTTGCCTATTGGCAGCACGCAGAAAAGCCGGGCCCTTCACTCGAGCTCTACCGCCGATGATTTGAAATAATGTAATTTTTAAGGACTAAGCTTGAATGCTGTTGGCTCACATCTCGGTATCAAGATGAGAGCCTGGCTTTGCACAAAGTACAGCGCGCCGAGAAAACAGCCATCTTAGCACACCCGCTGTAGCAGGAGCAATTGGGGCTGCATACAGGTGGAAAAGGAAGCCACAGTGCAAAGAGCAAAGAGATGCTCCGAGGAGGCGCTGTCACAATAAACGTGTCAAACTCCACTGTCCTTGAGAAACTAATCACGGGGATCATTCTCTCACCTAGACATCTGCTTCTATTAGTAATGAGCAATGTTAGGAGCAATTCCTGGTTTTAAGGCATTAATGGTTGCAGTTCTAACACTGGCCAGTAAACAGTGGTTACAATTTGATGTGTGGTGGTGAGTTTAAAATGATTGCACTATATTAATCTTGTTAAGACTGCCTTTCTTCAGCATTATTAGTTCAAAATTACAGTGTTCTGTTAAAATCCTCAACATGCTTTGTGCCGCAGCTTGTCTTTATGACGGGTGTGGACACAGTAATTGTGAAGGAGTCTACACCTGCTCTTTGCAGACATCCCATTACATACCAAAATAACTAGGATTAAGAACAAGAGCGCTTGCACGTTTTACACTCTCTCTCTAGGAAACTGGACCGAATTAGTGTAGGGAACACACTTCAAGCTAAATCTGAAATTCACATTTATGCTACAGTGCAGGAGAGAGACCACCTTTTCTTGCCGTATTTTAAAGGAAACTGATTATTGTTATGGTGCTACCCGATCAGTGGGATCTTTTTACTAAATACAACAATCAGAAGTTCCCGTTGCTTAGAATCAGTGGGGTTTTAAGGACAGGCCTGACCCTACTTGCTCCCCTCCCCACATATATGCATCCCCTCTTGCGTTCAGACATGTTTTTAAACACAGATATACCCCTTTAAACTCCCTCCACAAATACAGTAAGGTTCCCACCCCCTCTGTCTTTACAAGTTTACTTTCATGGATTTACTTGGAATTTAAAACTAGGGAGATTGATCAGATGCATTCCTAGCAAAGGATCAATAGAAATAAAATTTGACATTTACATCATATTTGTCTATATGGAGAATACACGATACAGGTAAACCGAGTGGTTTAATGGGCACAACTTTTCTTTTGTATCGACTAACTTTTTAATCTACACTATTTGTAGCGTAAGAATATTTGTTTGCAAAGATGAATATGCCAAAAGGCCAATTTTTTAAAACATTTAATTAACTTGAGCTCAGTTAAAAGGGTAGGAAACTGGCAGCGCTCCAAAGATGCATTACTAGGGTAATATCTTTAATTTAATTTGCTTTAGGTTTATTTTTTTCTAATCTTGATAATTGCTCTATGGTTACTAGTTACAATGTTATCTTTTAGCCGTAACATTTGGTACAGCACTTAATTATAAATGATGTTTTTCCTTGCAATACAACAAGGTGTTCACCTATTTTTAGAAAACTGCATTCATGGCAGATCCATAATCCTCACAGAAATGCCGCTGACTGACACGTTTTCATTTCCTCAAAGGATTTTGGGAATCATTATCACTTATTCCACTGGGGTTTTAAGAATCAGAATGACTGCTTTAAGCTTTGTAAACCGAAAGGTCCTACTTTCTGGGGAGGTTCTAACTTCTGGTTATCTTCCAGTTTCCAACCCACGAGAGTGATTTAGAGTAAATCAGTCATAAAAAGGAATGATTAAAGGCCAAGGAAAGAAGAAAACGAATATAAAAAAAAAAATCAATTACTTAATTAAAAAGTAAATATAAGGGAAACGATAGTTCAGCACAAAATACTGTAATACCTCAAAGTGAGATGGCAACCAACCATGTGTAACGTTTCAATGGTATCCATTTGTAAAAGCCGTTGCAATCAAGGGTCCCTAAAATTGTACAATTGTTAAGGTCATCAGTGCTCTATACATGGGAACAGATTATTATTTTTGGCAAGAAATTATCAAAAGGACTTGAAAGACTGTGTTGCCAGCATGAATATGTATTAAAGAACTTCATTCTGTGGTCGCTAATGGTTTGACGTGTTAAACTCTCACATTACCTTTCCAAGACTGTAGTTTTCTCATTCCCCCTCTTACAAAAATAAAGTTTGATTTTTTTTTTTAAATCAGAGTTAGTCAATGGACAATGTTAAAAAAATCAGCTGCAAAAAGGCCACCACGTTCTTGGTAAGGTTACTGGGGGGAGAGGAGGAATTTGGAGGCAGTCAAATCAGCATGCCAGATGCACAATATTTTTTCAAAGACACACTAGTGCAGACAAAGCCAGATGCCAAATGTGGGGGTGGAGTGTTGGAAATCAAGAGATTGCAGAGGTCAGAGCTCCTGAGTTTCAAGAACAAACAGGTCTTTTTCTGTAGGCGAAAAATGGAAATGAGGGGTGTTGTAAATGGTGATAGATGGCACTTTAAATTGATGTCGCTCTAAGCAGAATAATAATATTCCACATTTCATAGTACAACTGATCCAAAGGGATTTCCAAGTTACTTAAGTGACCTGATAATGGGAATGGAACCGAACACGAATTTCAAAATACCAGGGCCCAACCAGAAAGGTTTTCTTTAAACAGCAAAACAAAAAAAAGCAATAAAATGTACGTAATCTCAGGAACTTTGTCTGCACTAGGTCTCTCCTCCGAGTGGTCTGGCTGACTCCTTAATATTCCTCTCAGGTTCTGAAAGTACCTCTACCTTTTGACATTTTTCATTTTAAAGATGAAATATCAAACAATTCAAAAGAGCTCTCGTTGTTTTTGCATCAAAAAAACAAAAAAAAAACCCCCAAACCAAAAGCCAAGAACACTTTTAGGTGGCTGGTTCCCTGTCTCAAAGACTCACAGCCAGTAAGCAGCTTCAGACACATTCATGCTAACACATACAGCTAAAATAATCCAATCTGAAAAACAGCATGCAGTTGTGTTAAAGCAAATTTCCATCGCCTGTATTAGTTAGATTACAGAACCACACAGCATTAAAGAAATATTTTCCATTGACTTGAGAAATAATGATTAGGGACTTACTTGTAACCTGCAAATTTCAAGAAGCATTAGCAATGAACTGACATGTTTGCGGTTATCGGTGCGCGGAGTTAACTTTCCTTCCTCGGGCCCATCCCGGGACCCCGAATCTGACCGGACCCTTACGGCACTCTGCGTCAATGGGGCTACCCACCTGCTTGAGTTAATACAACTACTGGTGTGCTGTAGGTTAGGAGCACGTGTGTTTGTAGGATCGGAATCTCATAGATAATAAGTAGAAAGGTCATTTTCCTTAAAATGGGTGCATTATTTGCAGTCTGGTGCATTGGTCTAAAGTGGTCGTTCTAGAGACACAGAGCAATTTTAACATTACCAGAAACTTTTAAATGCCTAAGGTAAGTGGGTGGGTGGATAGACAGATAGATAGATGCATGAATCCATAAGGGAGGAGGCAGAGGTCATACGTGTGTTTTCAGTTCCGCTTATAATTCAAGTGACAGTCAGGGCAGCAGAGTGTGCAATTGTGAAACAAGTCTATTAGTAAATTCAGCAGGTTCTAGAGAATAGTATCACTAAGTGGCAAAAGGCTAAGTGAGCAATGCACTGCACAATTCATTTGTCATAGGAAAAAAAACAACCCTCAAAAATATTCCTGAGATAAATTCAAAAGACTAAAGCGGAGAAAGGGAAGAAACGGTTACTTACAGCGATTCCGTGGCCGAAGCCAGAGCCTGGCTGAGGGCTGGCAGCACTTATGTAATTACCAACACCGGAGTCCTGACTGGCTGTACCGTAGAGGTCTGCGACCGGACCTGGGCTGTTAGCCCCTGGGAATCCTCCTGGCCGGGCTGGATTGGAGCCTGCCGGGGAAGCAGGTGCGCCAAAATTCGGTTGAGCACTGTAGCTATTCAAGACTGGTGTGCAGAGAATAAAGCTGGGTATGAGGCCGGAAGCCGAGCATGCACAGTTATTACAAAGCCAAACACTAGAATAAACAGCCTAGGCCCAACTTCTAACACTTAACCAAGGCCATGCGATAGGAGAGCAAGTACTGAATAATAGTCAGCCCATACTACTAAGAAGCTTGGAGCTCCAAAAATATATATATATATATATATAGAAACAATCATTCAACACACTACTGCAACCAGAGACTGTAGGAGCTCATTTTCACCAAATTATCACAAAATATATAGATATTTTTCAACATCTGATTTGATGCTCATGCAGTAGTAACAAGTTTTCTAGATCTGGGCACGTCGAGACAGCATTCACATCCCATGCAAACTACAAAGGAACTAGTTTTAGACTACACATTGTGTTAATATTGATATTAAAATGTTGACAGCAAACAAAGCAAATCACGTCTAGTAAAATCGATTTTGGATCCATTCGATACTTTGGAAAAACCTGCCCTTTTACTTATAAGCTACGTAAGGATTTCAACACTTGATTTTTGTGGGTTTTTAACATGGTATGGAATAGAACATTTTGGAGTATTTTTTTATTTTATTTTTATGACTACTACTACAAAGGAGATTTATTTTTTCTTCATTTAGATCTCGGAGAGCAGAGAGCTACCTCTACCTCCAGAACTGCACTTGGGACATCACCACAATAAATGATAAAGAAAGATCAAAACCAAAAAAAACAACAACAAAAAAAAAAACCTATAGGATCGTTACACTCACCTCCTTAAGTGGAAGTAAAAGGAAATTTAACCCTGGTTTGGTGTGTTTTGGGTTGGTTTGTTTTTTTGAGACAGAAAAACAATGTAAATAATAAATGATGCTACAGGAGAAATTTAGATCTTAAAGCATGTTAAATGATCAGGTCTTTGGCATGTCTTGTAATTGCTCCCGAATGTAAAATTTATGAGTAAAAGGCCTCAATGCAAAAAAGAAAGGTTAGCAGGCTAGGAAGATTCAAATGGAAATGGTTTGCTGTGAGTTGGAAAGCTAACGTATGTCACTTGCGAGGACCTTACAGAAGTGCACAGACATTTTGCACCGTCAGGCCCAACCCTCGACATCCCCTCGAAGCACGAGGTAGCACGTATGCATGTACTGCGACCTGCTCAGAGTTGGTGTTACACTCCTTCACTTATTCAGGCTTAAGAATAATGAAAAGATCAAAACAGCAGAAGAAGACATGTCGTCTGGCAAGACTTACTACTTATTTTTTTCCCCTACCTACGACAGGTAGGGAAGTTTGTGGCTTCAGTCAAGATTAACTCCAAAGAGGTGGGAATTTCTATTTCTGATCTACGCCGCCAGTGGAATAGATCGGTTCAACCCCGTAACTAACGGCACAGGCTGCCCAATCAAGTTAGACACAGACAGAAAGTGAAAATAAGTGCTGCACAGTCATGCCCAACCTTTCATTACCCTCTTAATTATTAGTATGAAGTAGCTATTAGAGACAGCCCCAAGCTACACAGCCTTGTATTTCCCCCATTGCTCCAGGCTGGGTGGGTGGAGACAGGGTTTGGGGTTTTGGCCTGTCCCTCGACTGAGCCTCCAGCAAATGTTCAGGAGTAAAGGAAGTGCGGCAACTGCATTTAAGATCTTTGCATTGAACACAGTGGGTTTTTAGAACGGACTCCGATTAAAAATAAAAACCGTTTACACCAAAATTTGATGCCGCTTTCAGGGCCAGTGGCCAATGTGGCATTCAGCATTGCCTCAGGTGTCTTAAGTCTGTCAAGACGTGCTTGTTCAGGATCTCTGGTGCCACCCAGAAGCCCCCACTGCGGTGCATCACTGAGAGTGAAATACATCTCAAGTGGATGAATTAGCTGGCAGAAATCCAAATGGCGACCGACTGCTCGGCCACGACACTACTTTTTTCACAAGAAATGGTGCAACGTGGCTGTCAACTGGCAACAGGGGGAAGTAAGTAGATCATCTAAGCAAGCAAGTTAAAAAGAAATAAGGAGAGAGAGAGTAAACAGATTATTTGGAGCGCACTGGCAAACAAAGCACCATTTTTAATATCCAAGATTAAATATCAAGATAACTCTTGGCCTTCTCACTCGCAAAGAAAAATACTCAGCTGAGATACTCCAAAGCCCTTTCTTATCTCGCTCTTCCACGCTCGTTTTTTTCTCCCAGTTCAAGCAAGCGGACAGAGGTTTTACTGACTAGTCGTACAAAAAACCAAGCTCACCCATCTCAACAAATCCACGGGCCTCAAACAGGTCACAGAAGGGAAGGGAGCCACTGCAAATTTACTGGGCGCCCAATTGACAACGCTGTGGAAAGGGCATTTGGTAAGGAGGACAGACACACATGTTCCTTACAGGAAAACATGCCAGAAGGCAGCTGGAAACAGTGCCCGGGACTGAAGAACGAAGGAGCCCCCAAAGTCATGAGCTGCGGCTAACGAGCCCCTGCAATAAACAGCGCCAGGGCTTTGAGAGTGCTCTCAGACTTGTGCATCCATGACACGGAAAAGGCCGTAGTGCCACTTCTTTCGTTGCGGTGCGTGCGTCGGGGAAGCAAGGGATCACGAAGTGTACATTACTATGCGAGGCAACTCGCCGTACAGGTTTGGAACGGGCCGCGTCTTAAGGGTGCGGCTTCTAGTGACTCTCTGCGCACTCCCGAACAAGCAGGATTTGCCGGACCTTAAAAGAAAGGTGATTTTGAAGCCTGCATTTCATGACCTACTGGGAAAACCCAAAGTCGGAACAACGCGGTGAAGAAGGAACTGGGAAAAATCGACACGGAAACGCACCAAAAATCGAATTTAAAACAAGTTTACGTACCACGCTAAATCTATCCGTGGCGTAACCCACTAAAGCTAATGGAGACTAAACCGGGGATGAACATATCCCTCTGTTTTCAAGCTACAGCGCTGTAAATTATGCCATTTAAAAAACAACAGCTCCGACAGCTTCTAACGAGCTGTACGGGGATCCAGCACTGCTGTGCTGTGAAAAACCATAAGGCAAGAGAGAGTAGGGCCAGAAGCAACCAGATCAGAGCACGTGTCCTTCTGCAAGCATCAGATACAGTCCCCCAACAGAAGAGAGGAGGTATTTGCCTTCTTTTGTGCTGCATGTGTGGCTTTGGCTGGTGGGGGCCAGCGGGAAGGGAAGAGGAACGACGTGTTTAAAAGACTCAAATATTTTTACTTGAAAATGTGTTTGAAAGAGCGAACGGCTGGGGCGGGAGTGCTCAGGACATTGATGATTAATGCATGTATCCCGTGATTCCCAAAGAAGCAACTGCAGGAACTTCCCAACCAGAAGCGAGACAAGGAAAGGAAAAACGGTGAGCTGGAGGCTCAGCGAGCTGTGAAGCTTCCTCACCCGCGGGGCAGGCTGTACTGATTTCGCACCGGATGGACGTCCTGTTGGAAGAGGAGGACTGTCAAGCCATCTCTAAGCAGAATCAGCTTTGAAGACTCCTCGGCTCTGATGGACTGCATCCGCGCGCTTGCGATCTACCGGGGGTAAATCAAGCATTTTCTCTGCGTCCGGGAGCACTGAAGTGTGCCTTAGGTGGGGGAGGAAAGATCCTGCTTGTTCATTAAAAACGATGATCCTGGCAGAGTAGGATGCAACATGCAAGCGAACTGCGCAGCAGCGTTGCTCTGTTCACAGTGACAAGCGGAAGCCCCTGACTTAAGCACACTTTACTGGGGAAACGCTGACCCTGCTTTTGAGACTGATGCTGCCCTGCGCACAAACAGATGCTAATACTTCACAGGAAGATGATTTCATTGCGTGCTGAGCTAGCAGAAAATGGGACAGGGCAGAAGTATATCCTGTTAGATACTGAACGTCCAGTGGGAGCTGAAGTGGTCCCAAAGCCACATTTCCCAGGCGTATGGCAGGAAGCTCGGATCCACCTCCCGGCGTGCCTGACTCATGTCAGTATGTCACTAGCTGTAGTAGCGCAAGTCATTTAGCAATAAGTCATCATACCACCACAACTAATAAGATATGCATACATGCCAGCATCCAGAGTATAAGCTCTGCATCATTAATTTGCAACTGGAAACTCATACATGGATGACAAGACGGCATTTGCTTTATCAGTGTCTTCAAATCTAGCTGAAAGGGGCTGGGGGGGGGAGGGAAGGGGGGGAGAAACAACCTGCATTTACAGCTGTACAAAGATTGGGAACAGTAGTTTTCATACATCCAAAAATTTGTTGGCACCTGTTTATTCAAACACCCGTCTGATCGTGGCGATGTAATACAAGAGCAAGGTAATTTTCTATCCGCTGAACATCAATTTAATGCTACATACTGATCACAGAACTGACTGCAGAAATATGTGCAGCACAAAAGCACACCCACTGATCCATTATCTTGTAAATACACTATAGAGGTTTAGGATGTTCAGACTCATCTTTGTGTGTGGCCTACAAAGTAGGTGGCAGTAGAAACTTTATAGGAGGGTTTGGAAGCTTTTATAGAGCTGACACTTCGCTCTAGGCCGAGTAAATGAAACAGGAAAGCTCTCATAATTGCCAGGAGACTAAACACTTTGCAGAAAGCCATATTTTAATGATTCACTCAGCCATGATGAGCTGCTAAATATTTGCCCTCTTACAATATCAGCGCCTGAATTCAGTGAGATCTGGAGATGTTTTTAGAGTAGATTTGAAAAAGCAGCAAAAGGACCTTGAACGACTTCTCCGAGACAGAGAAACGTGAGGTGCTTTGTTAAGAAATGCGTATTTTCTTTTAAGCCCAGTCTAATAGAAACCTGTGAATAATTTGATTCTCAGATTAAAACCGAGGGAAAAACAATACAAACCTAAAAATGGTTTCCAGCCACAAAGGAGAACGAAGGTCCTCTGAGGTCATATTTTTACTCAAAAGTTTCCAATTATCACCTCAACCACAGGAAAAGGAGAAAGCTGCCCCAAACGACTGCTGTTTTTAGCATGGGGGAGCAAAAAGCATCGGAGAGCCGTGCCTTACAATAAAGCTCTTGCCTGAAAAGAAAGCGAGACAATTCTCCAGGTACCGCTTAGGGGCAGAAACAGGTACCGGGTCACGGAAATGAAAGGTTACAAGTAAGTTTTGCTGACATATTGCTTGGGGACCGTGTTGTGCGGTAGCACGGGAGGAAACAAAATGCTGGGTTTTTTGGGTCCTAGTCTGAGGAATACTGCAATAATGTGCTATCCGGCTTCTATCTCCAGCTCCCTTGTACAAAGCAAGTGTTTAGCTTACCATTAAATACCCTCTCTAATGCCTCTGCGTTACCCGTGGTAAGCCCAGCCACCTCCTCCACTTCTGGGATTGAATCATGCCCATGACATCTTGTTGATCAGACCACTCACTGTGAACATGTCTTAAAAGGTTTGACCCAGCGACTGCACAGAAAAGCAATTGCTCCTGCACAGAGCATCGTGAGGGTCTAACACTTCCAGCTTCATTCACTCCAACCTGAAGAGCTTCTTATGCGCACAACACACGTTTCGAGGGGTTAGCAGCATGTATCGGAGTAGATTAGGGTCAAGAGAGGTAGGCAAGTCTGGATACGTCTGTGATTCTTATCTCGCCCAAACCCACGGGTCCTGAGCATGAGGCCTTGAAGTTGTGCGTCTTTTCAGACCCAGCCAGCCACCCCTTTCCAGGGATTATTTTACCTTGCGAGTCACATGAGCCAATGCCTAGAGCAGCGGTTCCCGAACTCTGATAGGCTGTGCACCACCGATTTAAAATGATACAACCTTCAGTGCCACCAGCGGTTTTTTTCCATTGAACCTTTTTGTCATATAAAGTCTGTATAATAAACCTGTTAACGTGTGCCACTGAGAGGTTGACTGCATACCACTGGCGGGACACATACCGCAGGTTGGGAACCGCTGGCCTCGAGCAATGGCATCCGACTGACCTGGCGGGAAATGGGGCACAGGTTTTCTTTATCCGGTGCTTGCTTTGCTTTGTTTCGAATTAGCGTTAGTCTTACTATGGCCCAATCTGCGTGGCCTCGCTGGGGATGGGGGCAGTGAGTTTTTGTCTCTTCTCTGAACTAGATGCTCATCTACTTTGTGGTCTACAGGGACTGGAGAAACTGCTTGTCACCTCCTTACCCGTAAGCAGACGTGTAGGACAGGTGAGACTGGGGTGGGCAGTGGACAACCTCACTGTAGGCCCGGTGCAAACGAAAGGCGTGTCCTGAGACGGCCCCTTCTGCCGTGCACATGTACACGCCACGGCTCCTTTCCTCCCGACTGCCTTCACGAACTGGTCCGACACGGCGGGCTGCTAAAAGGCCCTTTCAAGGGAGCTGACCAGCCCATCAGTATAGCAAGGAGGGAGGCCAAGACTGACGGTAACATTTGGACAGAACATCCCACTGAGCCCCTTGCAACCACAGGGCAAAACCCACTTTGGTGGGGCAGGAAGTCAATCCCAGATCTCTTGAGTATTGTAACCACCAAGGAGCCCTTCCTTCTCTCGCACCGCCTTTGGACTTTAGAGATTTAACAGTGCCTGCATTTGACAGCAACTCTTGTTATAGTTCAACGACAGAGGCCGGGGGGATTTTGCTGAGCTACGAATTGACACTGGGAAGGCCCCACAGGTCTATAATGTAACAGGCAGGCCTAGAATAAACTGGTGCAATTTGGTGGTCGTGAACTTCTACGAAGCTCAGGTACAGCAATATTTCTGGAGAAAAACATCGCAAAAGATGATTGATGACTTTTGGGGGGGCTGTTTAAATTGAGGTCACAGGGGTTGACAACTGAGAAGAGGGACAGGGGAGACCTCGAGAGGGAGGGATGTAATCTCTGTTTTATTGAACGGCGGCTCTAACTCCCTGCCGAAGGTGGGAAGCAATAAAAGCGCTAAAAAATGGGTTTCAAACTTTGCTCTCGGAAACAGCGATCTCACAGCAGAGCAACTGGTCTGCACATTAGGGAAGTGCTTGGAGCAGATCTGGGTCTATTAGCCCCAGCTTACACAAAAGCTTACTCGACAGGAGCCTTCAGACATTAAAGACCACCCCGCTCCCCCCGAATACTTTTCAAAATAGTGGGGCAGTTTAACCATAATAGCATTTTGGCCACATTTCACCCTGAGGACTCTTTTGTCTGATTTCAATTCCCTTTACTTCAGTTCACCATGATAATTTGTCCCTTCTTGAACTCAAGGCCAAACAGTTTTGCCAGGCACTGTGAAAAAGCAGCCAGTATTCCCCAGAAAGGGCTACCGTTCCTGCTGTCCTTTTCTATGCAGCGTGCGCCCAGTGCAGCGTATTGCGCCGTCTGTGAAATACAACTTTCTTTGGGACGCATTTGGCTCTCGGGAAATACAAGTTCATCATCAGTACACTCTCTCCCTAAGCGTCCTCGGTGATTTCCGTGCTCTGACATCCGTTCCCTATAAGGCACGTCTATAGAGACGAGCCTTTTCTTCGCAACAATGAAAAGGTAAGAGAATTTTAAAATATCCCACTAACTTCCAGATATTTCTGCTTGGCAGCATGAAACCATTCTTGCTCTTTGTAGCAGAGCCTTCTTCATCGACTCTTAACATGCACGGAGCTTGCTTTCCAAAGTGCACTTCTACCAACAGCCAATTTATGCAAGGAAGCCAAGCCGCTCAAGACATATGAGAAGGTTGGAGGCTCATAACACTACAAAATATTCTGCTGGGAGCGATGACAGGGAGAGAGCTGAGGCTAGCTTATCTGGTACTTTGTCCTATGAACTGCCATGTTAACATAGAGCCTGCTCACAAATTAATCCAGTGTTGAACACGAAAGGTCACCATTGAAAGATAAACTCTCTTTCGATAAACTCTTGAGAAATTTCTAAGTCATGATTCATTATGACATTTGCCTTAGCATATGGTGTATTGCGCTGAAGTGGATTCAGAACGCCTCTCCAGGAGGGAAGAGAGAGGGCATTTTGTTAAAGCATGACCAAGTCGGGCAATGAAATGCCACGCAAATAAACTCAACCAATTCAATACCTAGGAAGAGGGAGATTGGGGAGGGGAGAGGGAAATGGAGAGATGTGGGTATAAGGTTACTGCTGCACCTGAAAAACTTTGCAGGATACAGGGATTAAGTTCAATCCATTGCAGGCGTTTGCATACTGTGGAAGTAAATTACACATGATGACAAAATAACACTCTTAAGCACCACTAAGGTACATAGCATTTCAAAAAGAAAGAAACCAGGTGAAATATTGAGAGAGGTATAAAACAGGCAGTGTGCAGACATATCTGTTTCTCTTGCTATACAGTCTACATTTAACATTCGGTCATAAAATATCCCCCCCCACCCCAGGGTTGAGAAGCTCAAACCTCAAAACTAACATAAAAAAATCAAATCAAATCAAATGATGACAACCAAGATAAAAACCCCTGTGGGCGACTTCTTCACCTCCAATATCATTTCTCAAGGATCAACAAGAGCCTGATCCAAAGCCCGCTGACAACGCTCCGCTCAGGGATTTGCACGAGGCATTAGGATGCCATTCAGACTCCCGCCGACTCGACCGGGCTTTGGGTGAGGCCCTTGAAGAACAGGGGGCTTTCATCCGCCCCTGTAGGATTAGTAGAAAAATGGCACTCAAAAATCATGGACCGCTTAGGTGCGGGTCTGTCATGGACTGAACTGGCATGCAGGCCCGGTGTCGTGCGTCATTAAATAGGCGACGAAAAAAAAATCATCTTTTGTTTCCCCCAAAGGAATGAAATTCTATACAAACCTGGGCTCTTAAACTGATCCGGGCTGGGAAGGTGGTGGAGGGGGGAGTTACTTGCTGAAGCAGCGTGCTCGCTACGAAGCATCTGAGCCACCCGAGGCCCCATGGAACCATAGTCCGCATACGATAACGGGGCCCGTTGGTCACCGGGCGAAGAATAGAAACCGTAATCAGGGATCCCTGGAGATACAGTGACTCTATCATTGTGGATACTGGATCGTTTCTTATAATTAGTCTTTTCAACGTCATTTTTTTCTTTTCTTTTTTTACACAAATAAGAGAAAGAACACTGACATTTAAAGAGAGAACGGTGCAAAACTTGATTAGAGCAACTCGGGCGTCTCATCCAAGCCAGCGTAGGGCAAAGGCAAGAGGTCTTCAAGCTTAAGACACACTGCCGGAGGATGGGCCGGCTCTCCCCTGCCCGCAGAGCACACTCTTTTAGCATGAAACACAGCATCCCCGTTATGACAGTCAGAAATACATTTCGTAATCAAGAGCAATGGCTGAAAGCCGAACTGAGCCAACCGGAGCTACCTTCATCATAGTTTAGCCAAGCCCACTTACCCCTATCAAAAATATTTGTGGACACATCTTTGTTCCTCAAAGACGTGCACGCATTTCCCCCCAAAAGCGAGCATCGGCATACACCCAACAGTACACTAGAAGAGACACACTTTTTATCTCAGCATCAATGGAGCCAGATTCGCCCAGTTGCATCGGCATGAATCCAGAGGAACGAGTCACGTCATGGGCCTGAGTGCAGCTGAAAGCCGAATCTGGCCCCTAAACATTCAGCATGCATCTCATTTTCATAGAGGGGTCGGATAGCAAATGCAGACTTGTCTTCGAGTGCCACACGAGAAGCAGACAGCGGCTGGCATTTAAAGGAAGGAAAATCAAGACACACTCCTCTGGAAACAATTTCTGCACGCTGGATCAATCAGGCTCCAAGCTGATTCCTTCAAGAGGAGCCCATTTGATGGGCTTTAATAATAATAATAATAATAATAATACATTAGCAAGGACAAAGATGTGCTTGCTCTTTGCATTGCAATGTGCAGGCTGCAGCTGCAGGAGGACGCTCCAGACACCTGCAGACCTGCCGCTCCTTCACAGTTATAACTGGTGACCACTAAAAGCAAAAGCGGACCTGAGCTTGCAGTGGCTGCATTGGAGGAGAAGGAAGAGGCGGAGAGGGGGGGAGGCAGAAAAAACAGGGAAGGAAAGAAACTCCATTAAGTGTAAACTCCACCATCTCGTTAGCTGCTGACCACCAGCAAAACGGCCCCCCCGGACAGTTTGCTGCCCGGGGTAATTGCAACCTGGCCCTGGAGTAAAGCAAAGCGCCAGTGCACAGAAGAACAACCGAGTGGGTTTTGTGTCATGCTGTGACTCAAAAGGTGTGGGCAACGGGTGAGGGATTCAGCCCAGACGCCTGAGAAATGCCCCAGTCCGTACGCCACGCTCTGCAGCACGTCGGCCTTTTCTCGGCTGAAATCTCCCTCCTTGTTTCAGGCCACGCTGCTCCGTGGGCTCTTTTTTGCCCCATGCACATTTTGTTTTTCCCGAGCCCCTCTTTGCTCCCACTTTATGGCAGTCGCACATGTTCCCCGACAACTTGGGGTAGGTCTCTAATTTCCGGACGGCTCGCCCCTCCCCAGAAGAAAACAGCCACGTGCCATTTGGCAGGCGCTGCTGCCAGCCATGTGTATGAGAACAACTGCACGTGCTGGAAAGCAGCAGGGCATTTTCCACAGAACCATCAAGACAAAACACCTTAAATCAAAGCCATTACCCGCTGCCATGACTTAGGGCTCGCAAGATTAGGCTGCTCCAGATCGTTATGAAAAATTCATACAACACGCTGCAAAACAGCTCCTTTTCTTGCTCAAAAGGGGTAAGCATTGAACACTGCCGGTACAGATGTAAGTGGAGGCTGGAACAACGCAGGGTGACAGGCACGTCAGGGAGATGCCGTTCAGCAAGAAGCTCTTAACACGGTTGGAGCCGGGCAGCGATGAGCTGGGGAGGGGTAACGCCGGATGTCACAGCCCCGCAGGCAAGCAATAGCCACCGGAAGATGCCAATGGGCGACTCTCGTTGGGCAACCCAATTCGTTTGTCTGTGGTTTGGGGGGCAGGGGCCCAAGCTGCAAAAGCATCTAGAGCCAAACTCTTATAAACTTTGGGGCTATTGTAGTGGGAGGAAAGGCTGCTCCACAAATCAGCTAATCTGGGGTTCACCTGGATGCCACGGAGGTCCCTTCTAGCTCTGCTTCACTATTTTATTTCTCTCTCTCTCTATATATATAATTTTTTTTTTATATTTATATGTATATATCTATATATACACACGTATATCTATATCGATATATAGATATATCTATATCGAGATATATACAGATATATAGATATGTATGTATGTATGTATATTTATGGCTGGCACAGGCAGGATCCAGTGATACACGGACATCCTACATTTTCAAAGGCGGCTAATGATTACGGGGCTGCCGTTTTTGGTGCCAACTTGAGAGACGGAAGAAAAAGGCAGTTTTCAGCCATCACCAAGGCATAGATCATGGAAAGTCAGGGTTGGGAGGGACCTCAGGAGGTCATCTAGGAGTCACCTGCCAACAGCAAATGATGCCCCTTTGCAGTGGGACAACCTGAACCACTCTAGGTACTCGCACGCGTGTGCAAGCTCAGATCTCATGCTGCCGTGCACATAGTGCCGCAAGGTGCAGAAGGCACTTCCCTCCCTTACGAGGCTGGAGGCCTCCATTAATATTTGCACAATGCTTTCAAGATACATAGGGGTAAGTAGCGGTAGAGGATCAAATGTTGCAGGTGGAGCCGTGGGAGGCGTTGAGAGGGTGGCATCTCCACTCACAGATGCGAAGATGCAGGGTAATTAGTTCTCCTGCCTCAAGACACGAAGATGAGCACAGTACACTTCAGCATGCTGTACAAACATCAAATCATTTCATCTTTGGTCCCCACCTTGTGAGTATTATTGGTATGATTGCCCTCATTTTACAGGCCAACGTAGTCTTCAGAGGAGCTGGGCACTCACACCCGTCACTGAAGCGAATGCGGGTTGGTCCCCTGCAACCACTGACCTGGAACTTGCCTGAGGCCACATAGGCAAGACAGTGGCAGAGATGCAGGTGCCCTTGTTTGTTGGCCTCATGTTCGGGGCCTTAGAGGATACTGCCTCTGACCTCCTACAGCAGCGGGGCAAACAAAACCAAGCTCGCTTCCAACCCATGCACAACGTGCCGACAGACCTCTGGAGCTCTGCTACTAAGAGCAGGCAGAAGCAGCAATAAAAAAAGCCCGAGTTCTCAGAAAAATCAAGCCCTATTCTTTCTGCTTCGTACGTCACCACCACCATGGGGCCTGGCGACCACGGATCCACGGGTGAGGCATGAGGCCGTGACACGCAGCTGTCTCTCCTCCGCAGGGCTCTTCGCCTGGCACTAACGTGACCTGGAGTTCGTCAGCGCAACGAGTAGCCACGCACCCAACAGACAGTGCGAGCAGGGATCTGCGGTAACAAGGTACGCTATTTTTCTGTCTGCCGCTGCTCTTCAAAAGGCGGCTCTGTCTCTGCCGTCCCTCTGGAAATGGCTTTGCACATCACACTATTGCTCGGATAACAACAGAAAGCAGCGGGTGGTACGAAGTAACCACAGCCTGGCGGTCACGACGGGAAGCGAGCAGCGTCACACAAGGCACTCCTGTCCACACTGGGGCTTGCACGAATGACTGAACCCACTTCCATCAACACCAACAAGCCCCGACACGGCTCACGCCCGCACTTTTGAACGATCCAAACCCCTGCACGGCTCAAACCCACTCTTTTGAATGACCCAAACGGCTGCAACTATGTGCGGGGCTCCCGTTACAACGTGGCTGTCCCCGACTGTCCACTATATGATGCAACCCGAGAGTCGGGGCGCTGTAGTCCCGACTGCAGTTACGTCCAGGGTCCCAAAAAAACCAAGCGCTTAGGAAGGACAGAGAGAAATGCCTTGGAGCGTGGCATAAAGCTCCCTGCAGCAGCCGTGCAGAAACAGTCCCATAGCGAGCCTGCCTCCTGCCTCAGTGCTGCCCGAAAGCTGTAAATCTCCACGGGCCACGTCTCCTCCAAGGGAAGCCGCGCCACGCCACGCCGGACAAACGCATTGCTCAGCTTCACCGCGATTCTTTTTGGCGAACCGTCAGTCTTTATTGCCTCATCCCATTTTCCATATTGCAAGTTAATGGTGTCACTCGCGCACGGGGGCTGGAGCATGACACAGAGGCCACGTGAAGCCTCGCTTGTAGCCGCCACGATCAGGGAGCCGGCTCTTGTCACAGCCCTTACAAAAGGATCTCCACTCGAGCGGCTCATCTTTAATCATTATAAAAGCACAGAAGTTTAATCCATTTTTGATGTAAGCGCTAATAGCTCGGTGTCCTTGAAGTTCAAAGTGGGCTTCGTGCATGTCGCTAATTAGCCGAGCAAGCAGCCATTCAGCTCCCTCTCATGTTTCTAATTAGATTCTTAACAACAAACAAATGTCGACCTTACAAAGGCTGTGCTACATACTCCTCCATTTGTTAAACAGGTTGGGAGGGAGGCCACTTCCATGTTTAGGCCCTGCCACCACCAGAGCATCGGGCACCCTCCGGCAACACCTTCCCTAACCTACGGGATGGAGGGCGCCACGCGGCTGTGCCGTGACCGAGGGACGAGGCAAGTCATGTCCGTGGTGTGGGTATGGATGGTGGTACCAACGTAACCAAGGGAAAGCCAGCTGGGCAGGGGCCGGGTGTTGCAAAGTCAAGAGCCTTTCCGAAATGCCCCCTCCCCTGCCGTCCCCTGGGAGCGCGGAGGAGGGTCTGGAAGGGGTGGGGACGTTTGAGCTTTGGTTGCACGACAACTTGGAGGACACCATTCCCCCAGTGACGGGGTGCAGCTGGTGGCTGCAGTCTTGTACCGGCATCATCTAGATTTGCCCTGAGCACGCGGGGCAACAGAGGGACAGGAGAGCCAGGGGCCTGGCAGCATTTGTGCTCCCAACCATCACTACCGTTGTTGGGAGCAGCTTCAGAAGCGCCTCCCTAGCCCAGCTGTGGCATGCCAATTTGTGGAGGATGCGCTGGGGGATCAGGCAACCGGGTGGCTCTTGGATCTACGGAAACACAGTCCCCAGCCCAGCATCGCTGCAAAACAAGGGCCCAGGCCTTGCAGTATGGCTGCGGCCCTTCCAGCAGGCATTACTGATGGGGCACCGTGGGGCAGCCAAGTCAGCTGTGGTTGCTCTACTAACGAGGGCATCTCATTTGAAGGTTCATTGAGAACCGAACACATTTTTCAACTAGACCTCGCGTGCAATGCTTAGGCCTGTTTTCATTCGCTCTTCCTCTGCACCTAATAAAGAATAACAGAAGGGAGGGAAAAAAATTAGAGAGCTCTTCTGCTCTCTCCCTAAACCAATCTGAGCGTGGACCAAACGAATCAAGGCAACATTGGCTGTATCTTAATATTGACACTACTGTAATCGGCAGGGAGGTTTCCTTTCCTTCCCATGCAGTATTATGGTGCGTGGCACATCCTGGGAGAAGGGAACCGGTTCTTCATAAGTTGCAACCCTCCCATTTCAGAGCTGGGAGGGCCAACAGGACCCAAGGGATTTAGATACCCAGCTCACACCAAAAGTAACTTCCACTAAGACCCTTGGAGAGCGTCTCGAGAAGCACCAAGCGCCCTGAACCCTGTGAAGTTCGCCGGGCATCACAGGTACCCGGTGCATCTCGGGATCTGAAACAAGGGTAATGTATTCCCAGCCTGTGCATCCGCTCTGGCAAGAGGCAAACAGATGACAGCCACCTACGATCTTGTTGCATTGTAAAATCATTTCCTGATAATTTTGCTATTTAAAGCAAGGAAAGAGTGAATCTCTGGCATTTTCACCTCTCATTGGGTAATAAGAAATCTGTCACTACTTTTACCACGGGCAACTGCATTTGCATTAATTGTTTACCACAGCCTGGACAGGCCTTTTATTAATATTAATGAGTAACTGGGAACAAAGGGCCCTTTTATTTTTAGCCTACTCTAATTGCGTAGTAATTACTCATCTACAAAACAAATGAGCCGAACTCCATTACCATAGCAACCGAAACTCCGGCCTCCCACTGTAACACATTAACCGGCTATCATTCCTGTTAATTTTAAATTGAAGCCTTTTGTACAATAACAGACAGTAGAAGAGGCAAATTAAACCCAAGCCAGGGCTTCATTTCACTGCATATTTTAAGTCACAACAGTGGTCCAGGCCTGCCAGGGGACGGCCTTCCCCTTCTTGCAAAGGATCAGTGCACCTAGGCAATGCAATAAAACCCCGCGTGGCTCCATTTTCCTTTTCTTCTTCCACGACACCCGTGTTGTGTACAAAGCCTCGCTCCACCAGGAGTTTACACAAGACAAAGGTGTTAAATGGGTACGAATGAACCTGTTCAATGCGCATCTGATACTGCAGCCGCAACGAGGAAGGCACCGACTCTTGACAAAGGCAAAGGAAAGGCTCTTTCCCAAAGAGACTGGTCCACCCCACGCTGCCGGGGGCTGCATCGCCACGTGGCCCACGTGACAGCAAACATCGGCTCTCCGCCACCCTCCCCTCCCATCCGCAGCTGCGTGATTTATGGACAAAAGTAATATTAGGAAACTATTCTGAGCTGCCTCCTTTTGCAGCTGGTAGGAATGAACAACCAGCGCCGTGCAAGTAGCTGCCTCCGCGCTCAACTTGGTAGGAGTCGGATTTTGACTCCGCCAATACCGTCCACCCGTCGTGGGAGCTGCCCATGCTGAATTTGGTCCCCGTTGCCAAGGTCCTAACCAGTCGTTCACCAAGCTATTGAGACAACTATATTTTAATTGGTGAAAATTAATATTCGTCTGCCCCTGGCTGCCTGTCACGCGGCCCTCGATGGCTTGCCTAAGCTTAATAAGCGGCCTTCTGCCCGAAATAACAGCCCCACCACTTCGCACCCCCGTGCCTCAAGGGCTTTGGCCACACTGACCGGCGGGTGGTCCGCCCCGCATGCATCGCAGAGGGGAAAAACTGAGCTGCACAAAGATGACGCCAGCTGCTTGGCCTCATCCAGCCAACCAACTGAACGGTGCCATGAGGCCCGAACCCTTTCTCTAGCTACCGGATGAGCTGGCTGCACGAATGCGGGTTGTTTTGGGGATTTTTTTTTAAACATAATATAGGTCCAATTCTGTATTCCCTGGCTTTTACAAATCGTCAAGTTAATACCGGAACAGATGGATACAAAAGCTTCCTATAGAGGATGGGGAAAAAAAGACGCCAAGGCACCATCTCAAACAGATCAGAGAGGAATCGTGTGTTTTCATGGCCTTTGCTGCTCTCAGTTCCTTTCAGAAACACTGGTTTTTTTATACCATTTGAAACATACCTTGCAAGATTACCACTGTGCCACCTCATGGATAACAGCCCACTAGCTCTGCCAGGTAAAGGCGCTTGGTCTGCAATGGTCTCTAAGCTTTAAGCCCTGATTTGGCTCAGCCCTTAGGCTTATAGCTCCTTGCTGAACTGGGACCGTCGTACTGGAGGGGCCTGGTTTCAAACCCTGCTGCGAACTTGCCTGCGGAAGGGTCTGTCTTGCTACATCAAATAACATGGGAGTGTGCCAGCCCAAGGCTCTGCCCTTTCTTTACAGGGGAGAAGGAAGGAAAGTCCAGCCGGCTGAGCTGGCTGCGCCAACAGAGTCGTAACGATTCAAAACCTTCAGCGTTTGGAAATGGGAACGTTTCCCTGCCTGCCTGATTAGCCTGTCTGGATCGCAGTATGAGCCTTGTGGAGCCACCACTTGGCATACATCAAGTGAGGCACCCTGGAAGCCAAAGTGATCTCCGTGGAAGAGTGTTTTCCCATCGAAAATAATTCCACTGATTGAAAAAACCATTAAAAGTTAGCTGCTCCGTTCATTAAAGATTAACTTATACTGTACTTAAGTCTGCACTTCAGAGCTGGTCACTAATTGCACAGGAGATGATTTATCAAGTGCACAGGATTTTCTATTACAAAATTATTGATTAACGCTGATGTGTTTTAACCACAATAGACTCTAACTGGGAGCCTTGTGAAATGACTGCAGCCGAGGTCAGTGCCTGGCAGCAGCAGCAAATTATTTCAAATTTACTGAAATTTTTGTATGGCTCTGTCGGAGGCCCTGTCCCTCAAGGATAAAGAAAAATGCCTCCAACAATAAAGTAAGATAAACAGGTATTGTGCGCGGTTTGAACGCCAGAATGCAATTACAGGCACGTGTGTTTGTAATGGCTGCGAAATTACCTGGGACCTACGTAGGGCTCGAGAACCCTTCGGAGAAAGGATTCTGCTTTAATTTATTAGCAATAAAAATCCCATGTCTTCAGGAGAATAGGGGTAGAGCCCGTAGAAGGGAGAGGAGAAAGCTGTCCCTAACAAGGCCGAATAAGACTCCCCCAGCGACCTCCTACCTGCAAACCTTGCACACGTCTGGAAGAAGACGGAGCCTTTACCCATCAGACATGTGCTTAGGGCAGAGTTTGGCTTCCTTCGCTTCTTCTGCCTCTTTAAAAGAAGACATTTTCCTTTTGTTTGCATCCAGCCATTTCATCCCCCTGCTAATTTAGCTCATTCGACCCACTGGGAACCGGGGACTCTTAAAGCAAGTATGTGCATTACCCAGGTCCGCGCTCCCCCCTTCCCTCGGAGAGGCAAACATTTTTAAAGGCGGCTTCTCGCGCCGGAAAGAGGAATAAAGGATAACATCTTATGCAGCCGGTAATTTTTTTTTTTTTCTTTTCAGATGCGTCAACTCTGCTGAGTTCCAGTTGCCGGCCTCTGTCAAGTAATTACGGGCTGTTCCAGTGGAGTGAGAAATTTCAGCCTACTTGCTTTTCCCAGGTGGTCCACTTGTTAGGTTCTGGCTTTCGAGATTACATGCCTTGGATTAAATTTTATGTACTTTTATGTAGTGAAATAAAAAGAGGAGCGCAGTTCCATTTCAGCTCCTGCCCCAAAGGGGAACGCACTGCCCGGGCAGTATAAATCCCGAATTGGTTCATCGCCGGATCGTTCGCCCGCGTCTCCTCCTGACGCTTAAACGGGGCGATCCAGACTCCTCTCATTTCGTGCACGCCGACCAACTGTCGCCCCATTTTTTTTTCTTTATTTTTTATTGCTGCAATTTGCTAACGCAATCAGCGCTTAACTACGAGGCTAAATTTTTAGAGCACCTTATTTAAGCGTACGGCGTGGGTTTCTATGCCCCGTGCAATTTGCCGCTCGGCTAGTTTTTAGATACGTTCCTTATTTAATCATACGTCTTGCACATTAAACAGTGGGTCCCCGCGTCTCTTTAGCAGACTGAAATCTAAGGGGGAAATTGTTCTCCCCCTCTACGCCTAAGTGTTGGTAGTGCTCAGGAGCAATAAAGGGGATTGTGCGTGGGGACAATATAGCCATCCGCAGGTTTCTAGTCGTGTCAGCTCCATCCAGGAAGTTCCTTGGCTGATTTACTTTATGTACTATTAGAGGTAAGGAGCAGAGACAAATGCTTAATTGTATCTTGAAAGCACCTTCCAGATACTTTGCTTCTTTTAATAACATTTGCTTAGATAAGCGTGCTAAAGATTCGGCTGAACGTACGTGATGGGGTATGAATGTGCTTGCTCAAAACTAGCAGCAGTTAGGTTGCAAACAGGGTGCCGGACCAGACGGGGGAAAGCAGCACTGTAGGGTAGCTTTTCTACTCCCAGCAGGATATTTTCTGACAAACCACTGTGCAATTCAGGACTTGAATTATTGGCTGTTATTGACAACCGCTTCCTTTCTAAAACACTTAAAAAGCGGAGTACATACAACTGGGCACAAGAAGCAAAGACGTTTGCTGGCTCAGTGGTAAAGATGATGAACTTGTCTTGGAAAACCTTATGCAGATCCCTCCGAAACATTGGCTCTTCAATTTATAAACGTTCTCTTAACCTCGGCCACGCGGTGCTGGACGCAAACCGCGGCTGGCACAGTGTCTGCTGCGTGACATGGAGAAGGTTTATGACCTCAATACAATCTCCCTGCGGCTCAGAACGGTTTGGTAGGAAGCTATTGTACGCAGATCAATAGGGTTTAAAATTTCCAGTGGAGTGATTTAGGTTTGGCGTACCCGGTTTAAGACTGCTGAAGAATGAGTCTATGGGCTAATGTAGACGAGTAACAGGTTGATGAAGAAACCATGATGGTAAAATGATTTTTAAAAATAAATAAATAAATAAATAAAAGCTTAATTCCTTTTTTAAGTAAATGTTCTAAGAGATCATATTTAGATTCAAAGTTTTAATGCCTGGAATTTTTTATTTGGAAAAAAAAAAAAAAAGCAAAAAAAAAAAGAAAAAAAAAAAAAAGCAAAAAAAAAAAGAAAAAAAAAAAAAAGCAAAAAAAAAAAGAAACAAATTTACTATCAACATAAGAGTATGCGCGGGTTCTTATCGGGGAAGGATGTAGGTCACCTACAGCCATATTCAATTTATTCTTGGAGTTTAACAAATACGGTACTATGGATCCAAGCCTTTAGCAGCGCTCTGTTCTGTTGAAAGCCCTACTCTTTCAATCAGACAAATGCTATGCTTTTGACTGCCACGCTATTTCAAGTTGATGATACCTATAATATCAACTCAACAATGCATGTTCTACAACTACATCTACTGCTACCAGTACGACTACTACAGTGCATGCATTTAGTTCAGTCCCACAGATACATACACTCTAAGAACAGGCAAGGGGAGATGTGAAATGTTTTACGGGACGACAGGTATTTTGTTTTTTTAAGTAAGGGAAATTAATCATAACCATAATAATAATAATAATTAAAAAAAAACATCGAAAGAAAGTGTACAAAAAAAATTAAAAAGAGAGAGAGAGACATTTCTCGAGAGCTGATAGGAGTCGTTTCTTGAATCGTTTCATCTGAACAAGCAAAAAACATGCAACCAGCTGCTACTAACAAGAAGCTGGACACTGAGAGAGGATTAATAGGTGTGGACAAACCTTCCCGCTGAGCGCGCTCAGAAGAGTGTTTGAGAGGAGGTGTGCACGTCCGAGTGTAAGAGAGGCCGGAAAGAATGCCTCAGAGACACCCTCTCTCACAGCAGCCCCAACCAAGCAAGAGAGAAAACAACAAAAACATAACTGCTCACACTCACCATCAAGGTCAGTAGCTCACGTTACTCGATTTGTTATAGCTGGCAAGTGTAAAGTACAGTATGGGGTTGTTGGGTGCTCACGCATCAAAGGCAGCATTTGCAGTTGGCGACTGGCACGCACAAAAAAAAAAAATCGAGGTATATTCGAGGGGGGGGGCGGGAAGAAGAGGCGCAGCTTCCTCGATCCAGACTGCAACGCAGCCCTGATCCTGCTCTGCTTGAACACCTCCTGCCGTCACCCATCCCGCCTGGAGCGGAGGTCAAATGTTGCCATGCTGACGGGCCACCATTTGCACCCCCCCCGTGGCGAGGTGCCAGTGACGTCCCAGGAGCCAAGCAGCAGAGAACCAGGCCTTATCATGTGCATTATCATCGGAAACTCGGAGACCGTCAGCTTAAAAAACCGCCCCCCACCTTTCTGCCGAATTTCAGTTGCCGTTTCCCCCCGCCCACTCCTTTTTTTTCCCATGCTTTTCCTGGATTGCAAACACGCTTGCAAGACAAAAATATGTGTAAAATATGCCAGGCGAGATTAAAAGACAAGTGACACTGATAGTGAAGTTGTCTCAGAGGACTTTGCAGCGTTGAGGCTTTCAAGCTTGCTAATTTGCCAGAACTCAGGGCCCAATTCATTAAAAAAAAAAATTTTTTTTAAATACAAGAGGAGGTGATGTCATCCAAGCTGGATTTAGCCATGCAGCTCCTGCTGAAGCGAATGGGAACCATGTGGCTAAATCCCATAGTCACATTTGAAAAATCTCACCGACTGCTTTTTCATGGCTTGGGTGCGGGGTACATAAGGAAGGGAACCAGAGCATGTGCCCTCCCAATAAAACTCAGCTGAGTGTGCACGGAGAAATGTACCTCGTCGCTGATGCGACAAGACCTTTTAGCTCTGATCATCATCATCCATGCCCGCATCCCCGCAACGCCACAAGAAAAAAAAAGGCGTGAGCAGGAAACGGAAGGCCAGAAAGTGCCGAATCACAGAAATGATTAGTTACCAAAATGGGTCACAACATGGAAGTAGCCAGCATGCGAGCTAGCTGCGCCCCAGGCAGAAATGATCTAGGCAAAACCTTTTGCCGACTGCTGATCGAATGGGCAGTTCCTCCGCTGTCAACGTGAGAACATCACCTTACAATAAATAGGGGTCACTGCTGCCCAGACACCACGAGTGTGGGGGCTTTGGAAATGCACAGTGAAATGTCTGGCAACACATCTAGATTGTAGATGTGAAAAACATCTTAGTTTACTTGTGGTCCATGTTTTCAAAAGAGCTCAATTCCCCTTCAAGCACCTCAGTGAAGTGGCCTGGTTTTCAGGGGGTACGGCCTACGCTGAGTATTTTGGGATTAGACGGCCACTCCATTTGGCTGACTGAATGGTACTGGCGGGTGCTGAGATCGTTGCGGGGTGGGAAACCAGCCCTGGAAATGTTTTCTATTCCAAAAGTCATCTGGATCAAAATGAATCCAGCTGAACAGGAGGTATCAAGAACGACCTCAGACCCTAAACCTACTTATCTTATGTCTTACTTATGTGTTAGCTTTAGTAGCCCTGATGAAACCAACGGACTCAATAATGGCAGCAATGTTAAGCCCTGGGTGTAGCTAGAACTGGGACCTTATAGCCAAAGGGTTTCATTTTGAGTGAACTGGCACTAGACCAGGGGTGGGCAATTATTTCGGGCAGAGGGCCGCTTACTGAGTTTCGGCAAGCCATCGAGGGCCGCATGCCAGGCAGCCAGGGGCAGATAAATATTAATTTTCTAAAATTTTTAGGGCCCCCGCGGGCCAGATAGAGTGGCCTGGCGGGCCGCATCCAGCTCACATTTTGCCCACCCCTGCACTAGACGGACAACGGGGCTCGGTGTTGTCTGCAGCTGTGGAAACCCCATCTTTGACAACCCAACAAGGCTCTTGAGCTGTGAATTGGAGGCAGAGGGAAGGGGCTCTGCTCTCACCTTTGTTGACCGCCAACAATGGCTCTCCATTTGGTGGTTTGAATCAGAAAAAGCGTGCAAAGGGAGCATGCACATTTATAAATATAAAAAAAAAAACCCTAATTTTTCTTGTAATGAATTGGGCCCCACAAGCTGCTACTTGAGGCTCATCGTACTCCGCTGCTCCTGGACACAATTCACTACCACTGCCCCGCGAGGGGGACGAGACCCAGATGCCCCGTTCAAAAACTCTCTTGCAAGGGGAAGGACGGCACGTGAAACGCCATCGCTCTGCCAGCCGCGTTTCACTGCAAATGGAAACAGCCTCTCGTTTCAAGGGATTCGACCGGTTTTTTTGGGGTGTTTTGTGTTTTTTTCTTCCTCCTTGAATTCTAGGGGGAGTGGGAGGAGAGTGCTGGCACTCGGTCCAGGCAATTTTGACAGGCCTTTCCAAACTCCATACTGCTCTTTAGACTTGCCAGGCAGGGCGGTGTTAATTGAGGGTTAGATTTAGTTTCGTATTGCAAGTTCAAATTAAAAAAAGAAAAAAAAAAAAAAAAAAGGAAAAAATTGGAAAAAAAGAGAAAAGAAAAAGGAAAAAAAAAAAAAGAAACAAAACCCCACTCAAATCAAAAACAAATGATTTCAGGCACAGAATCGATCAATGCTCAGTTCAGTTGTAATGGGCACCAAAAGCACTCGGAGTAAAAAAATATGAGTTATGGAAGCAACATTCATCTAGCCAAACCCTCCGTGCCTCGCTAAGGGGCAACTCACCAGGTCTGTTTGCACTTAAAGCAAAACCTGAAAGGCAAAGCATGAGGAAGAGGCGGCCGTGATTAAGTCTGTTTTCCTCATAGAATATGTAGGATTGATTTTGCTTTTGTCTTCATCAAAAAGGGAAAGGGGGGGTGGGGGGAAGAGAAAGAAAAGGAAGGGGGAGGATTCCCACAGCTGTCTGGCAAGTCACCCCTTAAGCTCTTTCTACATGCCACAAAATAAAACGGGTACGGATGATCCTTTGTAGCCCCGCAAGCAGTGCCAGTTTGCATGGAACGGAGTTCTCCTGACCTCTCACTTCGGCCTCCAGAGAATTCGCCTCTGACTCAATGCGTATTTGGGTGGTTGCCCTCAGGAGCCCCTTGTTCATTTATTCCCCTCTCCCCCTCCCCGCCAGACCCTCGCTAGCAAGCCTAGACGTCGTCCAAGTGACTGAAAACCTCCACTCCAGGACTGAGTCATGAGTAAGCTGGAACCAGGTCCCGTCACCTTTTTGGCTGCGTATTTCTGGACTGGTCGCAAGGATGCTTTTTTTTTTTTTTTGGTTGGTTTTTTTTTGGGTAACCCTTCCCTCTTCTCCTCCCCCAGCACCACTATGGTCGAAAGCAAGAATAAAGGGTAAGATGAATCCAGAGGATGATAAATCAATGCGAGCGTATGCATAAGATTGGAAGCAATTAAATCGACTGGGGAGGCATTGCTGTGCCCTTTGTTCTTGCTCCGGGTCCCCGGTGGACAGGCAAGGCACGGGCTAGGAAGCAGACGCAGAATAGGGTGCAGGTGAGTTCACAGCCCACTCATGATTGCGCTGAATGCTGAATTGCCTCAGCAAAGCCCTAATTCACATGTTCCCCTGCGTTGAAATCCAAGGGTAATAAATGTGATTGGTAACAATTTACTTATTTCCCTTAAGGGAAAAAAAATAAAATAAAATTTAAGCTTTTGGAGGGGCAGAAAGAAAAGCATTAACATTTCTCGCCAAATCTGGGCCGGAGTTTGCAGCAGGTAACAAAAGCAGTGGGCCGGAGAAACAAAGCACTAAGCTTTAAATGGCAGGCAAATTAAAAATAATACTTGGAAACCAACAATACAACACATGTGCTTGCAGCGGAGCCACTTTGATTTGGCTTCGCGTAATGCGTATTGATTGCCTGTACTTCAGGTAGTGCTTACAGCTGTACAACCCAATTAGAGTTTCAAAGGAAAGCAAATCTGGAGTGCACACGTGAGCGTTTTAGCATCTCTTATAATATACGGTAGCAGATGCGATGCTTTTGTCTTTGGTAGAACAGACGCTCTGCTGGAGGAAACTACCGTTCTGGCAACCAAGTTGTTTTAGGGCAAGGAATATTATTTTGAGGGTGAGGTGCAAGACAAATTTTAAAAAAGCCCAACAAATATCGAGGACAGCCTGCCACTGTGCCTTAGGGGCTGGGAGAAAGAGCCTCCAAGAGGCCTGGATCCTTCCCAGCGAATGGAAGACCAAGCTGCATTGTTAACCCAGTGCAAACTTCACAGGAGAAATGAAAACTTCCTTCTCTTTTTTTTTTTTTTGCCCTTAAACCGAAAACGAACAAAACAAACAAAAAAAGAAACCAAAATGAAAGGACCCTCACTTCTCAGTTCTCACGGAAAACCTCCTGCCACGTGCTCCAGGCCTCCTGGCCTCTGCTTGTCGCATGGGTCTTTTTTGTTTTTTGCTTTTGGCTTGGTTTGGTTTTCAGGTCCCCAGGATAGGTGTGAGGAAAATCAGAGTAATGATGGACAGCTGCAGCCACACAGAATACCGACAGAGCTTTTACCTGCCCCTGCATTCTGCGGGTATGCCATGTAGCCGCCTCTTCCACAGGCCCCCCTACCTGATCCTCTTGCTGCCGCCACCGCTGCTGCTGCTACTGGTCCATAGGCTGCTGCCGGAAAACCTAGCCATGGAAAAAAGGAGAAGGGTAAAGGGAAATATCCAACGAACGGCAAGCGTCACGCAAACAGGGCAGCGTACTGTACTGCGCTGGGGCACAACCATGCTCGATTAAGGCCAGCGATTGCCAAAGGGCTTGGTGGTTTGGGGTGCCTTAAAAGGGCCGAATATTCAGAAAGGGAATATTTTCACTTTCCCAGAAAATTAGGCCCCTTTGAGGCGGACCCCAAACTCGAAGCCTTTTGCAAAACGGTGGCGGTAAATTGAAACGGCTGGATGCTCCGAGGATGCCTTTTTATCCCGAGCGGCTGGCCTGGGGGCCACTGCAAGCTGCGAAGGACCGGGGACCGTGGGTGGATTCATTCACAAGAATGAGTCGCAGCGCTTAGCTTCTCTCATCTTACTTCCTGAACAAGGAGGATAAATTTGTTTTGTTCTTTGCTTACGTGCAAGACGAAAGTCCGTGCAGTTTTGGACACAAAGCAGTAATGGGAAAAAACAAAACAAAGCACTAGAAGGGCCTGGTTTCAAGATGACAAGGTTGCTGGGATCAAGTAGAAAAAAAAAAATTAAATGGAGAGAATGTATATGAACAGGGGGGAAAAAACAAAACAGCTTTCCAAGGCAAAAGAGCAGCAGGCCAAGGAAGGCCGGGCGATACGTCCTATGCAGAAGGGACCGTGACACTGCACAAAAACGA